ACTAACTCAGCTGCCGTAGCAAGGTCTCCAATTCGTAACGATCGAAATTTACTTTGAGAACTTCCGTTGAACGTCTGATACCGAATTTCAATCAGCTCGCCCTTCACCGGACGATCAGGCAAGTTGGGGGGTGAATTCTGCGGCGGGCTATATTGAGGCCGACTCCGTAGCCCCTGGAGAAACTGGCGAAGAAAGAGCAGTGAACGACTGAAGCGTAGTGCGTCAGCTCGACTTTCACTCCTGCTGAGGTCGCTTGCCATTGACTCGTCAGTACCATTGGCGACACCGCCAATGGGTGGCTTCAAATGAGCCGCGGCAGACTTGAGTTGTTCAACACAACGATCCACCAAAGCAATATGAGTTGCCTCAACGGCCGATCGCGGAGAGCGATTGATCACCGAGTGATCAAGGTAGACCTCGATCGCAAAATTTGTGGCGTCCGTTTCGATTGAGCCGGGTGGAGCCGTGAGAATGAAATTCCAGATACGGTCCAGCCCGGGAATTGAGACGACCTCATCCTCTTTAGCGATCGGCGGCGGATTGAACCGGACCTCGTAATTGACCGCTTGCTTTGCGAACGCGAGCAACTCGGGAGTGTAGTCATTAGGAGACAACTTTGGAAGGTACTCTTGGATACACCTTTCTATGAATGGATTGCGTTTTGGGCTGCGTCTCATGAGTTCGCACAACATGTCCCACACAGCTCGGCGGCCTTGTTCCACCAGTGTTTGGGACACGAGCACCTTTTCCCAAAGGACATCAGCCAGGTCCGCCGTGACAGAATCAGGGACTTTGTCAATAATGCGTGCAAGTAGTTGAATTCTGGATATGAATCCGGTCTTCGAAAAGGAGTCGGCAAAGTCTGTCTGCTTCATGTCCACTGTGTGAACCATTTCGGCAATGGCCAGGGCTGGAAGATCAAAGTCTGTGGCAAGCTTGCGTATCTCCTGAGTCTCGTACCCCGGAAGGAGAGCGTTCAAGGCCTGAATGCTGCCGACAGTAAACTGGTTCATTTCCGCAATATCCTGAATGCAGCGCTCGTACGTATCCATCTTATCACTTTCACTCAGCCCGACACTTATCAACGAGCTCAACTGCGAGCTCGCAAATCTCTGCAAGAAAGCCTTGTGCTCTACCGAGAACTCTTCAAATGCAGCACTCTCGCGAATGAGGCGCACACACAAACGCAGAGGAACAGCATCCACATGGGATGCGTCCGGCAAGTCGTGCCGATTTCTCTCGCCTTGTTTTTCACGGACCTGATAGAGCAGTTGCTCACAGAACTCCACCATCCGTGCGTCAAACCGAGACAGAGGTAGCTCCAGAAGCTTGGAACACAGGTAGATTAATGCTGAGGACAATGGTGAATGCATGTGGAATGTCCTGGTTAGCATCCCGAGTACTTCGGATACCGTCCGCGGATCTTGTGACTCTGTCACTGTCTTCCAGATAGTATCCGTGTCTAAGTCTCCGTAAGTAGACGTGACTATCAGGAAGCCGACAACATTTCCACTTCTACTGATGAGTTGAGGATGTGAATCGACGCCGACAATATAATCGACAATCTTATTCTCCCTCAGGAAGCCGACGAGGGACCGGACAAGCGGGTGCTCGGTTCCTGTGGGATTGGGTTGGATATATTGCCGCCATACGTTGACGAGATCCGCTTGCATGGTTTCTATACCATGGACCCTCAATTCCATGCGGCCATCCTTGATATGTTTCTGCAGTACACCAAATCTCCAAGCATAATAAATTATCCAGGCACGCTCATCTTGGGAGATATGCTCAGGGAGCTCGATCAAGAGGTCTTTGGCGACCTGCGATGTGAAACTCGAATCGCGGCTGATGGCAAGATAGATACCGGAGATGCACCGAAGGATCGACTCACTCGCGTCGCTTGTGACCCAGGGTGACTTCTTAGCGATGTGAACCTGATACTGTCCATCGATGTCCCGAGCGAACTGATAGACCTGTTTCAGAAAAGGAGGGAAAGACGCAGATTCAGCGATACTTTCCTCCTCGCGGATTTTCCATTGTTCGACTCCAGAGTCCATGATGTTGTGCACGATGGTGAGGGTGTGCACCAAGGAGGAAGAGAGCTGCGACCATTGGGGTCTAGAAACAAGAGCCAGGAGGCAAGCAGCATACTCAGATAGCAGGTGGATCGTACCGATCGGAAGGAACGCAACTCGAATATTGAGCTGAACGACAAGATCAACAATCTCGGAACCGTGGGCGCGTTCCATGGCGCGATAGAAGGGAATGCCGTGTAATTGTAATATCCAGCCCAACGCTTGCAAGTACGCCCTTGACATAAGATCCACGGCCTGCATATCTGTGTTCTCGTCCAGTTGCTTCAAGGTTAGTATATCCAAGCGCACCAGACGAAAGCCAAGCAAAGCAAAGTTGATAAGAAATTCCTCCAAACAAGACCAGATTCCTTGGCCATCGTCAGGCTCCAGAGACTGCCTATAATGGGTGAATAATCGTCAGCGAAGGAGTTCTGCCGCCTTGACGTAGTCACCGACGACTGGTGTCTCAAAAGGACTGCTTACCCTCTGCGAAGCAATGACTCCACCAGCAAGGGTAAATCTTCCCAGAAGATTCGGTCATCCACGTAAGTTTCATCAGTAAATTGATCCAAGCTCTGTACAATCTCATCGAACCAGTGCTTCACGGCCAAGAAGACACCAACATCGTGTTGAGTTCCTGCCCGGCCCAGCTCCGTTAGTCCCGAGCAGCTTCAAACATACACCCAAACTATTGGATACACTTTGCATACCTTTCTCAATGAATGCGCTGATCCCCTCCAAGTTTTCCCGTAGGTCATCGGCGTCTCGTAGCTTGGGAAAGCTAGCACTCAAAGGCGGCTGCCCTTGGAGCTGCACCACCTCTGGTGTGACAGGGTCCCGCAAAGCTTCCCCGAGCGTTCTCCACGTCGAAGTGTTGGGGTCCTGATCCATATCTTCCAAGTCGGCCACCTCAATCTCCGGACTCTGTGCAGGCGTCGACGATATCGAGACGACTTTGGGGGAATCAGCGGCTAGGGCAGCATTAGGCGGACCGGCGCCAGGATGCTCGGCGGTAGTGTCTAAGGATTCAGTCGCCATAGTATCGGAGGTGGGAGATTTCACATTGATGGTCACTCTGCTGGCGGGGGCGGTCGACGCAGGGACGTCGTGATCTGTCGTTCCGGGCGTGGCAGGAGCAGCCGACGTCGACTTGGACATTCGAGAGATGGCAGCTTCGTCGATCGACAACGACTCAACGGCGCCGCTTCCACTGTCGAGACGCGGACGTTTCCGGGTAGATTGGGGATCGAGATCTTCCATGGAATCGCCGTGTGGACGCGTCGAATCGGTGGATTGAGTAGCGTCAGGCGGGGTGCTAGAGCTATCTAGCGGGGCAGCTGCCATGACATTTTCTCTACCTTCTGGTCGGAGTGTGAGGGGGAATTTGAGGTATAATAGGAGGATGTAGTAATGGTTGACAAGTTGATGTCTACCCACAAACAGATAAGATAATAAATTCTCTCTGCGTATGGGGCGGGAAGACAGAAAAGAGAAAGTGTGTGAGAGTACGCGTGCGAAGCCAGGGGAGGGGGGAGGAGGTATATGTCAATGGATTATTATGTAGAGAGTGAAAAGCAGAAAGCTACATAGAAAACCACCAGATAGAAAGAAAAAGCGAGGTAGATAGGCAGCTATCACTCTAATCAGTGAGACGATGATGATAATAATCACAAGTTTGGCGGAGAGAAGAGCGCAAACCCACAGCAAACACCACCAAATCAAAAAGCTTGGACTTTGGAGAGCTGGAAGAAAGAATTAAACCTAGAATTAAGAACAGACAGCTCTGACGTTGTGGTGGAGACAGGCCTGGTGGGTCACCTGTGTGATTCAAGCGCTGGTAGGCTACTGTTTTTCTTTGTCCAGAGGCTATGAACACATGAAGCCTGCCTGGGTGGAGAAGAAACCCTTGATACAGCTCCTCCTTTTAGAGCAGCATTTTGACTGGGAGGAAGACTTGACCTATGTATTGTTAAAGATCTTTTATGCAATATAGTATGAAAATAGTACCTAGGTGTAGTTAAGACCTCTCCGTAAGGTACTATGGGAAGGACAACACTAAATAATGAAGGACGGAGTACAATTCCCCGCGTGGCAGGTGAATAAGCTACCTTGTTTGCTGCCCCTCTGAAGATGCTCTTCTTGAATATGTGTCACTGCAATTAGCGCCTTCGAATTTTTCAGCTTTGAACCGCATCACAATCACAGCTTTGTATGGTACAAAAGATCTTGGTCGCCGCAAAGGTACTGGGAATAGTCTTCAGGAGGGAGTCAACGTCGAAGGATCATTATCATTAAGATTATACATACCCCTTACTGATTCTCATGATGGACCTTGTAACGTGCGTGCATGTATAGCATCAAGTCTAGCTTAATCTATTTAGAATGCGACTATCATGCTTTGCATTACCTTAGCATTCTTCGCTAATCAACCCGCCAACCAACTGGAATGGTGAGGTACCTGAGGCTGAGGAGAATTTGGCGTGCTCGGATACTTGCAGTTCTGCCAGTCAAGAATAAGTTCTGATGATGTCTCAGACATAGTTAGTTAGTTAGTTAGTTACTGCCGCTTGATGATTCATCCCCAGATAGTTGAATCCATTGTAGAAAGGTACGGATCACAGAGAGATCTTCGTCTGATGCTCGTCCAAACCTAAATCTCCTGGTCCCCACAGAAGCTTCCCAGTCTTCTACTATGGACTTCTAGCGCGCCCAGTTTCTCATCTAAATTAGAAGTTTGATCAATCTACTCAGTTTATCTATTCCTTAATTATTTCCATGCACTTGAGTTTTCTTGTCTGCGATTCTCGCTGGGGCCTCGCATAGAAGTGTTTGTGCTACTTTGGACTTGTACAAGAATGCTAGCATACATTAAGACTGAGAGGTATGCACTTTGTGAAATGTACGCCGAGGATTGGAGAGGTGTCATTACTCGGTCATCGATGTCTCAATCTCCCGAATGATCCTGGCTGGATTCCCAGCAGCAAGATGGAAAGCAGGAACATCCTATCACCATCATCATCAGTCACAGAACAGAAGGAAAAAGTGACCACAGCTGCTATGACTATGGACATACCTTAGTTACTACGCTCCCCGCCCCGATTGTCGCTCCCTTCCCAATCGTAACCCCCGGGAGGACGATCACGTCTCCGGCCAACCAGCAATCCTCGCCGATATGGATTTCTTTTCCCAGCTCCGGACCCTCAGTTCCATTGCGCACAGCGGGGTCCAGCGGATGAATTCCGCTATATAGACTGACGTTCGGACCTAGCATTGTTCGTGCCCCAATAGTGACAAGGCAAGTATCGATGATGACGCAGTTGAAGTTGATGAACACCCCTTCTCCTAGCCGTACGTTGAACCCGTAGTCGATCCGGATCGGTGCCTCGATCCATGGCTCCCGTGATAGAAGAGCATCGTCTTCGGCGGGGTCCTGTTTTGGAGGTGGAAGAGGAGTCTTGTCATCGACGATGCTATCGACTATCAGCTGGGGTCCAGTGAGTATGCGAGACATGCTGCTCCCACATCTCAAGGTAGATTGTCGGGGTTACGAGACCATGTTCAGGATTGTGCTCGGCGTCATACACATTTGAGGATCCTTTTTAATATCACTTACTCTTTCCAAAGCTCGATTTGTCGCCGGCGAGATACGTCACCGGCATTGTTGAATCGCTGACAGGCATGTTTACAGCGAGTCCGAAGACCTATCAGTTCTGGAGTGAAGGCATAGTAGAGCTCCCCTCGGAGCATCTTCTCTTTCTCGGACGGCATTCCGGTGAAAGTCATATTACAAAGATATGGACCTATAAAAATTGCCTCTTCTTTGTTGGTAGACAATGTTCGACTCCAGCGATTGAAGCGTCATATTGTGGTCGAGTGGGGAAGTGACGACAATAGCTCAGGGACAATCCTAAAGTTAGAACTAATCAATTCTCCCATATCCACGACAGACGCACTGGTATTGTTCTTGATCCGGCATAGATAAACATACACTATTGTTCTTTTTAATTTGCAAAAGATGCATTGAAATTTCTTTTCTACTTCATATTCATGCTCTATACGTCCAGTCAAAGTTATAATAATCCAGACTATGACGCTTCTTTGAGGCCATCACAGCTTCCGCCGACAGACCAAAAAAGTTGCCTAACACCACTACCACTTCCACACTCTCACCCCGACCGAAAACCAAAAATGACCAAACAGACCTCATCCCAAGACGAAAGCGTCTCCTCCGGCAACCAGCCCGATACCAACAGCATCACCAGCACACCAGGCTGGCGACCCGCGCGACCCGCGCCGCCGCGATCCCGATCCCCTCCCCTCGACCAATCCAACTATCCCAACGGCGAAAAGTCCCTCGCCGGCATATCGCTACGCGCCTTCCTCCTAGGCACAGCGCTCGGCATCTCAACCAGCATCACGCTCTACCTCCTCCTTATCTCCCCGCACCCACTGTGGCGCGTCCCCTTCTTCATCTCCTCGCTCGCCCTCTTCCACTTCCTCGAATACTGGGTCACAGCGCAGTACAACACCCACTACGCCTCTATCTCAGCGTACCTCCTCTCCTCGAACGGCTGGGCCTACAACGCCGCGCACAGCTCCGCCGTCGCCGAGTGTCTGCTCTCGCACACCCTCGGCCCGCGCGATGGATACACTTCGCTGACCGCGTCCGTCAACGGGATCAAGTGGCAGGTCGTCCTGGGAATCGCGCTGATGGTGTGTGGCCAGACGATCCGCACGCTGGCGATGAAGCAGGCGGGGACGAACTTCAACCATACGGTGCAAGTCGAGCGGCAGGAGGGCCATACCCTTGTGCGGCACGGGGTGTATGCGGTGCTGCGGCACCCCAGCTACTTTGGGTTCTTCTGGTGGGGTATGGGGACGCAGCTGGTGCTGGGGAATGTGGTTTGTTTCGTTGGGTATGCGGCTGTGTTGTGGAACTTCTTTTATAATCGGATCAAGCGTGAGTGTTTTCTTCCGTCTGTTGCTGATTGCTGGTGGACTGGGCTAACGGAACGTAGGGGAGGAAAAATTTTTGGTATGTTTCTTTGGAGACGAATACGTCGAGTACAAGAAGAAGACTTGGGTTGGCATTCCTGGGATCTTTTGATACCCATGTTTAAAAGTTTACATCATATAGTTACTTGTACATTTGGAAGAGAAAGAAGGATGAAACGTGTATCAATCATATATAGAACGTGCCAGAATGGTATCACCATATACAACCAAACGCCTGTACTTGGGTCCAACGAGACCATGACGCGCGCCTCGAACCCGTCTAAAGTTTGCTTTCCGGTGCTACTCCCCCAACTGCACCGCTCATGTAGGCGCCCTCTGCATGTCTTCCCGCCTCGGCATCTGGAGCTGTATTGCCGAAGAGAACAAGTTCACGACCGCCTCTTGTACTCCACCAGGTGACGCAGTAATGGGCGCGCTCGACATCCATCTCACCACTACTCAACGCTTCCCAGAAGCGCTCAATGCACATTTGACGCATCTCTGGTGTGCGAATCGTGTGAATAAGACTCGCGGTCAGTGGCAACCACTCCTCGAGGTCCTCCACTCGCAGGAAACAGAGGCTGTCTATCAAGGCGAGGATCAAGGCAGCTTGCTCGGATACTGGCGGGGCCAGGCCCTGATGAGCACCTGCTGTTCCTTGCGTGGATTGCGGGAGCATCTTGTCGGATGCGTTTAGAGCTCTTTCGTGTAGAACTTCGAGGAGTATAGAGGGCAGCAGCGGCTGGCTATTTGCAACGAGTGACGGAGGGGCAGTCACTTTAATGACAGTCTTGAAGGCAAGGCGGAATTGGCGGGCGGATAGATTGTCAGGGAAGACCTTTGGAAAGATGAGCACAAATCGAAAGACCTGAAAGCCAAAGACGGGACTTACAGCAAAGAGATTATCGATGTAGAAGGGAAGATGCCGGGCTGCTATGGCTGCATTTCCCGGAATGGCGAAGACAGCAAGAGCTACACTATGGGCGGCCTCGAAAATCTCGAGCAGATGGTTATTCCCGCCTGCTGCGAGATACGGGAGTGTTGCTGAAATTAGAAGCTCCTCACTGCATTTTGGAGACAAAACAGGGGTGAAAAGCTCGGCGGTATTCAAGAAATAGAGATCCAGACAGCGCTCAATGGGGTGCTGTGGAATCTGACCAAGCTCACTTGGTTTGACACTCTGTAGGAAATTCTCGGCCAGGTCCGGATACTGTGAAAGGATATCGACCGCCGTAAGTGTCACGAACGTGTGTTGCGAAGATCCGTTTTGACCAAGACGAGATGAGACAAAGTAAAAGTTGCGAAGGACGTGGAGAGCTTGCATTGAAAGGTAGGGTGCAGCTTAGCGAGTCAGTATACAGAACACAGCAGATTTTATCCGTGCAGGACACTCACTCCTATCAGCTGCAAGAATGTGATCGTTGAGTACCCTTCCCAGGACGGCGCGGAGAACAATCACAACAGAATATAGGCAATTGCGGAGGAGCTTCCATAGGCTTGGAATCGTAGACTTGAGTGACTCGGAATCCAGAAACTCGAGTTCTTCTGATGCGTCAATTTCAGATAACTTGTTCTGGCGCCATTGGACCATCAGTGTGCGACCGAAATGGGCAATCTGATCCACAGATTGAGAAACCAGAGTGGGATCGCTGGCATTCTCAACTGAATGCGCAATCAGTCGCGACAAGGGACCCAAAACTGATATCAAAGGACTCGAAATGATTGCCGTCACCCGACGGAAAGTGACAGACTGTGATGACCACTGAAAACGCTTCCCCGGTGCTTCAACAATATCCTTATCAATGGTTCCGAGAAAATATCCTCCTTCTAGGCCCTCTGGGGAGAAATATGTTGTTTGAATCAAAACAGGAAGCAAGCGGTCATAGCTTAGTTTGCTTCTCTCGTGATCCGACAAAAGCTCAAAGGTATGATTCAAAACCAAAGTGATACACTGCGCATCGAGGCCGTCTCGGGAATCCAGCTCCTCAAGTGCAAGTTGCGCCGCCGTGACAAGTGCAGACTCGAGTTTCGTACGTATGCTCCACGGTAGGCCCTGTCTGTTCTGACCTTCAAACCCGATCAGAATACCACCCAATAAGAGTAAATGTCTCCAACGCGGTGATTTCTCATCCGCTCCGCTCACGACCGCTTTCACCCAATCTTCGCGTTCAATCTTCCTAGGTTTTGTGTATGGTAATCTAGATTCCGCGGGCTCATCGTTTTGTAATGTCGCAATGGCGGCTGTATTGAAGACACTGATTATTCGCCGACATGCTTGTAGGTCAACAGGATGTTCCCATATCGCCGGAGCGGAGAGCAATTGCGAGGCAAGCAAAGTGATATTGAGGGGATTTCCCAGAAGAGTTAGAAGGCTGGTCGCAGTGGGCAGAAGGCTGAAAGCATATGTCAGTCAAACATCTTGTGCATAACTTGGGTGAACGTGATCTTACTTGATAGCGTCTCGAAGCTCCGATGTCGATTGAAGTGACCGCAAGAGAGCACCCAGAGAGCGTTCCGTCGCCATCTTAGACTCACACTGCGAGCGGCACAGCTGGCCACTCGTCTCATAGGAAATGGGTCTGTGTGGTGGAGTGAAAGTGAAGATGTACCAAGATGATCAAGTGCAACAGGACTGGCTGCCGACATCACGCTTACCGCGGAGACCCCAGATCGGCTGCCGAGGTAAGGTTGACCGCGTGCAAACAGTGCAAACAACCCACCACAGCTTCAGCTGTTCCTATGTACTCCCTAATCCCTATCTTATCGGCTGCAGCGGTCTGTATTGCTTTCCGCATATCGCGTCAGGCCAAGCTTCGCGAAGATGGTTTTACGCCGCTTCCCTAAGCCGTAAGGGTGACATGGCAGAGAAGGTCTTTGCCAGTATCCATCCCTGAGTACCATGGCCAACAACCGCGTTCCGATCAACTACCAGACACCACCTTTTCCGGCGCTATACGATCCTGTGCCGACCCATCATCCTCCGCAGGTCTACTATCTCTACTATACACGAGACATTTGGCGATTCACCCTCTACTGGACTTTTATATTTTATGCAGCTAGTCACCTTGCTGTTGCTGCGTGTGCTGTGGTCACGCAAGGTCGGAATTGGAGAGTTTGTCTGGCCGTCCCGCTGGTCTTCTCTGCCATTGCCGCGCTGGAAGCTCTTCTAGCTGGGAGTATTATTGGTCTCATGTGGGTAACTTTCTTTTCACAAATCTCCAACAACAAATCCAGGCTAATTGGTTTTGAGGCTCGGTGCTGTCTACGAAGCGGGTAATTTCAGGATGTCCACATGGATTCCCATGATATGGGGCGGGATCAACGTCCTGGTCCTCATATTGTCCAGTTTTCCCATGCAAGGTGGCCTATAATCGCACTATTCAATGGACTTCGACCCAAACTTTGGCAGATCGATTAGACCCCTGAGTTGAGCAAACGCCGAATCTCAATGAGGAGATACAGAACTGCCGTCAGCCGGATTTCCAGCAAAAAGGTAATCTATCGACGACAAGCGACTATTTGCATAACAAACGGTATAAAATATTCTACCACAGGATATATCACATTTGCAAAGAATTGTTCTCTTGAGAAAACGCCTAGCTGCATCCGAAAGCTAAAATTTCGCTCGCCTGTACGCAATATCCCCGTCGAACTTAATATAAACATCTGAGCATGCGATATCTCATCTTCGATATGTGTTGTCGGGCGTGCTGCTTTGCAGACCGGGAAGACCCGCGGATCCTAGAGATGCAGCCAAAGAGGCGAAATTTTGAGGAGAAATGCCCTGGGAAAGGAGCTGCTTTTGTAGCTCCGCAAGGTCGATATTCAACGGCGGAGTACCTGACATAGCAGGGGGCATGGGGAATCCAGGCATGCCTGTGGCCGGAGGAAAGTTGTGTGGCTGAGAGGGGTTTTGTTGAGACAGAATCGCTGCCAGGCGGCCAGGGTCCATTTGAGGCATGGATGCAGGCATCCCAGCTTGCGGTGCAGGTTGTGGAGCACCAATACCTGGTAACAATGAGCCAGATCCTGCTTGCAGAGAACCAAGACCCGGGGGGGCAATCTGGATGCCGGGAAGAGACTGGCCGGTAGTATTCTTCTGATCAACCAAGCTTTCAGCCTCGTCTTGTGCCTCTTGCTCTTCTTCTTCACGCATCTGTCGCCTTCCAAACCCACGACTCCACGTTCCTTGGGCTTCTGCAGCCTCCTCGCCGATATGAAATCTGTCTTTCATGTAACTAGTCTCCCCTGGTCTTGCTCGAGACCAGAAGCGCGTGAAGTTGTCTTTCGAGCCCGACGCCAAGATATGACCCAGAGGATGCCAGTCGAGTGACCAGATGGTGGCACTGTGGGCATATTGGATCCGATGGGCGGGGTAGATGACCTGCGCTGGGGTATTCGCAGGATCAGGACTGTCGTACGGGGCAATTGTTGGAACCTGTCCTGATGGAAGGTTGGGTTCATCAAGTAAGTAATGGTATAATGACCCATCCTCGCTCCCTGTGGAAATGAGGGAACTGTGAATAGGATGCCATGTAAGAGATGAAATAGGCTTCTCATGCCCCCGGAGAATGCAGATATCCCGCATCATACGTAGATCAAATACTCTCGCAGTCTGATCACGCGATGATGTAGCAAGAAGGTTGCTGTTTACTCGCGAGAATCGGGTAGTCGTGACGGTATTCTTATGGCTGTGGAGGGTGGTCAAGCACCTAGTGGTGCGAGGATCCCAGAACTTGACCTGGTGGTCTTTCGACCCGGACACCAGAAGGCCTTTTGTGGGGTGCCAATCGCACGATTTGACGTCCCAGTTATGACCCGTAAGAACGGTGTCGGCAGTTCGTGCGGTGAAGTCGAAGATCTTTAGGGTCGTATCATCAGACGCGGACAGAAACTTGGTGTCGCTCGGTGACCATGCTAGGTCTCGTACGGCATCGTGATGTGCATCATCGATCGTCTCCACGTTGTTGAAATTAGGTCGCCAGTATTTGATGTCGCCCTTTTGTCCTCCTGAGATCAGCCAGTCATGGCTATGCGACCACGCTATCGAAGTTACTCCTGCTTGTAATTGATCATAATGTGCCTGCTCAAATGATCAGCAAAAACCACTTCGAGTGCAATGATTAGTCGGGTGGGAGCAAACGCACGTCCATGACGGTCTCAAAGTTGAAAGCCGTTCCGTTCCATAGCATAAATTCGCCCGTATGTCCTCCTGTCAACAACCGTCTCCCTTCCGGCGTCCATCTCACAACTGTGATAGGTTTCTTCGATTTACCGATTGACTGATGTAGGTGTCGTACGGGTATCGTATCTGCAGGAGAATGGATTCGCGCCAACGGCGGAAGCATCTGCGAAAAGAGCGGCCGGTTAGTTGACATCGTTCACCTGGGCGCGGACGTCCGTAGACAGCGCGTATTAACTCACATCGACTACATAGCTTGCGCTCGGTCTCTCTGTCTCCATCCGATGACCTCCTTTGTATCGTGGTTGTCGTGTGCGCATCCATTGTACGAGCGATGAGCCGTAATCAGTAACCAGTCCTTTGAATTAAGAATTAGTGTCGCAACGACGAGGTCGGGAATTCCTTCAGAGAACCTACTCGGACGCCGGGGTCCTACAATTCCACCCTCGTATGGTTTCCTCCCGTAAGGCTGGGAGTCGCCAGACGGATCATCGTAAAATGCCATCGCTACGCGACTTCCTCTGAAGATGGATTGCTCACGACAGGCCTGTAATCATAACAGGGAAGCTAAGAATTGGCCTGAAATTGATTTGACAAGCCTTGATGCGTACCGCAGACTGGGCTGCTTCGATTGAGAACGTAAAAAAGCCTGCAATGGTGAGCTCTGGTCGAATTATCAATGTTATTGTGTTTTGTCGTTATGACTTGAGAATCAAAAGTAAGGTATGACCGGGGCGGTCGAACCTCCGTCCGCAGTCTCCCCACTCGTGGTTCAGATGAAGATCTTCAATTAGGATTGATGCTTGGCAATCAAACAGCGTCAATCAAACATTTATCTAAAAGCCGTTTGAATGCGACTTCGGAACATTAGATTTCTCTATCGAATGAGAGACGACGGTCCGCATTTTCTGCGGACCTAATTACAACCAACGTCCGGGACTCTAAGCAGCCAGTATGGAGACCATAATATGAAGCACGACAGATTCTCCACATATGGTACAGCGTATTGTCATGACTCCGTTGCTCTCGTGCGCTGTCGCTCCAGCTTCTCAAGGACATCTAAACGTTTTGCCATCCCAATGCTTTTATGATTTCATAGAGGTTTCTTTCCTCTTCCGAAAATGGACTATACAGCAGTACTCGTAACTGCCCCAGCAAGGTAGTCCTTGTCTTCTGCTTCGCGCAGCTAGACACGGCTTCTCATCTGGTCTTGCGGCTCTTGCTTCCGATATAGGTTCGTTCAAACATGGGGTCGTACAAACTTATACTGTTCCTGGCAGACGGATCCGGCGCAATCCATTCAGCTGTATGGGCGCAAGACACCCCCGGAGTCGATTCAGTCCAACTGACTGATTCCGTAAAGACTCGATGGCATATTTATGTGGGCAGTAAGGATCATCCTAAAAAATTGAGTATTGGACTTCTTGTAGGCGATGTTTGTGTCAGCTTGACAGGCTCCAAATTCGGTACCTGTCAACCCAGATTGTTAATTTGTTCATGCACTCAGTGTTCTGATGCGGTTTTCCTGTGTATTGAGATAGCACGGCACCAGGTTCCAATCAAGGCGAGAGATAAGGAAAGAAGGACCTAGGTTCTTTCCTTGGTGCAGCAAGCAAACAGGGATAGCCAGTAACTGAGCGATAATGAATCGAATCAAGAACCTTGTGCTGTCGGAGACGATGTCAACGGCGTCTAGGCATGCATTTGGCGCAGTGGTGATGCATTGGTGCGTGGGTCAAGCGCATGCGAGCGTGACGGAAGCCCGCAAGGTGACTTGATTAATAACGGTTCTCGCCGGTCGAGAGGTACCTTACACTTTCATACCCCGGTCGCCCTCGAGAGGCCTTTGCTCAGACATTGCTGCAAAATGCGTAACCAAGAAACCCCACCATGGTGCCCTTGAAATATATTTATCTTGCCTACGTCCTTTCTTGGTATTACCATCCAGATTCTTCTTTCTTGTCATGGTAGAGCAGAGCGAAGCTCAATTGCTGGTCTGTCGCTTCAGTGTTCCGAGGTATCTCCGCAATTGAACTGCGAATCAACTAGAGCTCTCCATCCTGTCACTCGTTTTCCTCGGAGATTTTCATTTCGTCACTCCCACTGCTGAGGTTTGTGCAACAATTCACGAAGATGAGTGCTTCCGAAACAGTATCTTCGTCGGCCAGTGCTGCTAGCACGAGCTCTGGAGGGTCGACTCCGTCGAAGCTCGTCAATGGAGCTACCCGCAATGGTTCCGCAGCAACTGGCAACGGCTCTACCGAGACAGCCAAAGGGAAGAGGAGGAGCAAATATCGCCATGTTGCAGCTTATCATTCGGAGCTGCGGCATTCGAGCCTCAGTCGAGAGACCAGTGTGGTCCCAAGTTTTCTTGGATTCCGGAATCTCATGGTGATTGTCTTAGGTAGTTATTCCGCCTGCGTCGCCTTTTCACATGTTTGGTGCTAACATAGCTCCACGTGTTTAGTGGCGATGAATCTTCGCCTGATAATTGAGAATTTCATGAAAGTAAGCTTATATGGTATATTCCGAAAGCAGCGTACTCTGGTATTCTAACAAATATCTCCTTGCAGTATGGCGTCCTAATCTGCATCAAGTGTCACGACTATCGGAAGCAGGATGTCGTTCTTGGGTCGATCCTCTTTGCCCTTGTTCCATGCCATCTCTTCCTTGCGTACATCATTGAATTGGCTGCAGCTCAGCAATCCAAGGAAACTGTTGGTCGACAGAAAAAGGATCTATCGGCGGAGGAGAGGGAGCGCGAACAGGAGGCCTTCCGCTCAACCTGGCGGTATACAGCCTTCTTCCATACCGTGAACGCTACCCTGTGCCTCGCCGTGACCAGCTTCGTTGTTTATTTTTACATCAATCATCCCGGAATCGGTACAATTTGTGAGCTCCACGCAATCATTGTGTGGCTCAAGAATTGCTCCTATGCATTTACGAATCGCGATCTGCGGCAGGCAATGCTCAACCCCTCTGCGGAGTCTGCTCTCCCAGAGATCTACTCCACATGCCCATATCCAAGAAATATCACACTTGGGAATCTTACATATTTTTGGCTAGCACCTACACTTGTATATCAACCCGTTTATCCTCGATCGTCGCATATTCGATGGTCTTTTGTTGCCAAACGGCTTGCCGAGTTTTTTGGTTTAGCTGTTTTCATATGGCTCCTCTCGGCTCAGTATGCAGCTCCGGTCTTGCGAAATTCCATTGACAAGATAGCTGTGATGGATATTGCGTCAATCCTGGAGCGCGTCATGAAACTCTCCACAATTTCGCTTGTCATTTGGCTCGCTGGATTCTTTGCGCTCTTCCAGTCGCTGCTGAATGCTTTGGCGGAGGTCATGCGGTTCGGAGATCGTGAGTTCTACACGGATTGGTGGAACAGCCCGAGTCTCGGCGCATACTGGCGGTCATGGAACCGGCCGGTATACCTCTTCATGAAGAGGCATGTTTTCTCGCCGCTGGTAGGAAGAGGCTGGAGCCCTTTTGCGGCGAGCTTTATGGTCTTTTCCCTCTCTGCAGTCCTGCATGAGATGTTAGTGGGGATCCCTACCCACAATTTGATCGGTAAGAACTTGATTCTCTTCGCAAATGATAAATCTGGGATTACTGATGGTCACATAGGTGTTGCATTTGCGGGGATGATGTTCCAGCTGCCATTGATTGCTGTGACAGCTCCCTTTGAAAAGGTGAATGACGCCTTGGGCAAGATTGTAGGGAACTCGATCTTCTGGGTAAGCTTTTGCCTCGTTGGTCAACCGCTGGGTGCGCTCTTGTATTTCTTTGCATGGCAGGCGAAGTACGGAAGTGTCAGCAAGATGCGCGTTTAGATTTGGAGCCACCACTATATCATATATCTGAGATGTAAAAATTCAGCCAGTTGCTCGTTCTTTCCAGAAGCTCGATCGAGATAGTGAGTCAGAAGAAACCGCAATCTTGAGGCAGCGTTCGGATATCTTGGATTGCTTCCATGCATATTGAAGCGGATAAAACGGGCTCCTGGCTTGGCTGCAGGACGGATGCGGCCGTTCGGATAGGTTGATGCTCCGAATGGACAACAGTTACCCCGTCTTCCGGCAACCTGACGTCAGGCCAGAATAATATAAAAGCAACGACTGGGACAGATTTTAGTTTCTCTGCTATTTAAGCTGCTCAAACATAGCTACAATAGTATTTTTTTCAAGTTATATCAGATTATCCTATTATTCTCTCCGTCGAAATGGTTGCTATCGTTGTACCAGAAAACTACGGGTATGTCCTCCACTGTGTCGAAGTCAGAAAAACAATCGATAATATGAAGCTCATTGAAATGCCAGTGCCGTCGTCGCTGTTGCCCTGGGAGCTATTCCAGTGCTTAGCTTCATTCATGGAAGCATCGTGACCGGTCTTCGGAAGGATGCCAAGGTCCCCTATCCGCACACCTATGCGACTGTTGAGCAATGCAAGTCAAATGTGCGCATACCTTGAACTTGTTTTTTTATGCCGCTATGTGAAGATTATGAATGCTGAAGTCATGATGCAGGCCAAAGCCGAGCAATTCAACTGCGCGCAGCGGGCCCACGCTAACTACCTCGAGAATATGCCTCAAACAATGCTCTTCACTCTCTTCGCGGGTCTGAAATACCCTCACCTGGCAACAGCAATTGGCGCTTCATGGCTGTTTTTCCGAACTCTCTACTTGTACGGCTATGTGTATTCGGGTAAGCCACAGGGCAAGGGAAGAATGCTGGGAGGTTTCTTCTGGTTTTCTCAAGGCGCTCTGTGGGCTCTGAGTGTGTTTGGTGTTGCCAAAGATATGATCTCTTACTGAATTTGAGAGTCATTCTGCATCTCACGAAATATGTATATATATATATGTACGATAAACTTCCGTAGGTTACCAGTAATTGACCAACGTGTTATCTTCTACAGCTCTACGGTCTAACCCCAAACTTCTAGCTGTACCTGACTACAGAGTAGCTTAATCGTGGCTGACCCCACAGCCGGAGGCGGAGGAATACAGCACCGACGTGTCGGTCTCCATCCAGATTGATACGCAATTTTTACGCGGGAAAAGACCGAGATAGAAGTACGACTCTAAATATAGTCCCCGAGCGGCTTCCTTTGAGAATAATTGAGATTTGATTCTCAAGCAATTGGTTTGGCTGGGTTAACCGCAATTGGATAATATACCACATTGCTCGGCTTCATCGTTTCTTCAATTACCATCATACCCCGCATATACCCCTCCATCGCCGACGATGTCTTCCAAGTCGCAATTGACTTATGCTGCTCGAGCCAGCAAGCACCCCAATCCTTTGGCAAAGAGGCTCTTTGAGATTGCCGAAGCAAAGAAGACAAACGTTACCGTCTCTGCTGATGTGACGACTACCCGAGAACTCCTGGACCTCGCTGACCGTACGGAAGCTGTTGGATCCATTACACATCGTGTCTAGAAATGGACTAATCAACTTTTGATGATACAGATCTCGGTCCCTACATCGCCGTCATCAAGACACACATCGATATCCTCACCGATTTCAGCGTCGACACTATCAATGGCCTGAATGTGCTGGCTCAAAAGCACAACTTTTTGATCTTCGAGGACCGCAAATTCATCGACATCGGCAATACCGTCCAGAAGCAATACCACGGCGGTGCTCTGAGGATCTCCGAATGGGCCCACATTATCAACTGCAGCGTTCTCCCCGGCGAGGGCATCGTCGAGGCTCTGGCCCAGACCGCATCTGCGCAAGACTTCCCCTACGGTCCTGAGAGAGGACTGTTGATCCTGGCAGAGATGACCTCCAAGGGATCGCTGGCTACGGGCGAATATACCAAGGCATCAGTTGACTACGCTCGCAAATACAAGAACTTCGTTATGGGTTTCGTGTCGACGCGGGCCCTGACGGAGGTGCAGTCGGATGTGTCTTCAGCCTCGGAGGATGAAGATTTCGTGGTCTTCACGACGGGTGTGAACCTCTCTTCCAAAGGAGATAAGCTTGGACAGCAATACCAGACTCCTGCATCGGCCATTGGACGAGGTGCCGACTTTATCATCGCCGGTCGAGGCATCTACGCTGCTCCCGACCCGGTTGAGGCCGCACGGCGGTACCAGAAGGAAGGTTGGGAAGCTTATATGGCCAGAGTGGGCGGCAAGTCATGATTTCCTCTTGGAGCAAAAGTGTAGTACCAGAACGAGTCATATGGAGGAAGGCTGCATACATTGTGCCTGTCATTAAACGATGAGCTCCTCCGTACTGGCCCTTGTAATGCCATGTTTTCCGCCCCCAATTGTCAAGATTTTCTTGCTGAACTCCTGGCTGTCATCCGGCCAGTAAGATAAGCTTCACCAGAGACGCCAAGGCTTTATCTATGTAGCTGATAAGCAAAGTGGGTTGATAGCTTAATACGGAAGGTCCCTTTGGCAAGTCAACCAGCGCATAGGAGATAACAGTTTTGCATCATACATCGATGCCTCATTCAGACAGGATAAGTCCCTCAAGTCATCGATTGACCTAGATCTGGTGCCGACAATACCTCTCGATGATACCTCGATTGGGACAGCGCACGCCGCACGCATTGACGCCTTCCAATCAAATCCGTCTTTGGTGATCGACAGTCCAGGACCATCTTCTCCAAGTCGCCCAGACTCACGGTGTTACGGTGGCGCGCTATGGCTTTCCTTGCCGGTCAAGCTCCGCTCATTAGACAGCGGAGAAGGAGGGGGAATCGATAGGGAATAATAGTATCTAGGTAGAGTACTCCAACCAAAGATACGCGGATCAACACCCCGGCATTTGTTAGTATACCCCAACCTCGTTTAGGTATCCTCTTCCTTCATCCATCATTATCATGATTTGTCTAAGTGCATCCCTAGATCCAGTCGATTAATTCGATAAATGGATGCGTGCACTCCGGAACGCGTGATTGGCTCGTCGCGTGTTCTCCTCAGTTCCCTCATTCCCCCCACGTTACATTGACAACGGAATAGCCTATGGTCCTGTCCGATAAGCTTGCTCCATCGCCTCCACTACGTCAAGTGGAGTATCAGACATGAGCCCTACCCCAGATATCGCCTGCTTATCGCTGGTCGCTTTGTCATGCTAGTACAGATCACATCGGCAATTCAGATAGCAGATGGTGCCATTGTCTTTCCGACAGATGAGGGGAAGGATATGAATAGCCCCCAAGTCCCCATACCTTCTTCCTTGATTTCATCTTTCAACTCCTCATTCCCTTTCCGACCTGCGACACTCCTCATCTTCAAAATGGCCGAGGAAAAGGCTCCCCAACCCACCATGGATCCGAAGTTGGAGAAGCACGCCCATGATGCGGATGAGGCGATGAAGGCCTTTGAGGGTTTAGAGGGCGAGTCTATTACCCTCGATGAAGAAACGAACAAAAGACTTTTGAAGATTATTGACTGGCATATGATGCCGATCATGTGCGTTGTGTATGGGATGAACTATTTGGATAGTATGGGCCAACGGATTATTCGCGAACAGTATAACAAGAACTAACGGCTGCTAGAAACTACCTTGTCGTATGCTAGTGTCATGGGAATCAAGAAGGATATCAATTTGAAGGGCGATGATTATCAATGGTTGGGGAGTTTATTCTACTTTGGTAAGTGCGCCGAATATAGTAGTGATTTGTCTCTAACAATTACAGGCTACTTGGCATGGGAATATCCGACTAGTCGGCTTCTCCAGCGTTTACCCCTAGGGAAATACTCTGCAGCTTGTATCATCATCTGGGGCACCATCTTGTCCTGCTTTGCTGCTGTCAGCAACTTCTCAGGGGCCGTTGCAATTCGGTAGGGACAGGTCATACTCCTCCTCAGCGGCAAATGCTGACTGCATAGATTCTTCTTGGGTGTTTTTGAAGCTTCCGTCACCCCCGGCTTTGCTCTGTTGACTTCCCAGGTAAGATAGCCGCTTTCGACCTGCTGAGATAATTCCACTCTAATACTGTGCTGCAGTGGTACACCAAGCAAGAACAGAACAGCCGAGTCAATATATGGTTCAGCTTCAACGGCTGGGGCCAGATTTTTGGCGGCTTAGTAGCATACGGCATCGCAGTTGGTACTGCGAAGAATGGTTCGGCCATCGAGCCATGGAAGATTGTGTTCCTGTTCACAGGGCTGCTCACGGTGGCCTTGGGTGTGATCTTCTTGTGGGTCGTTCCTGACAGTCAGCTCAACGCCCGCTGGTTGAAGAAAGAAGACCGGATCCTGGCCGTGGCGCGTGTCAAGGTCAACCAGCAAGGTATCGGCAACAAACATTTCAAGCTCTACCAGGTGAAGGAGGCACTCATGGACCCAATGACCTGGGCTTTCTTCTTTTACGCACTCATTGCAGATATCCCTAACGGCGGGATCACCAACTTCTTCAGTCAAATGGTGAGTGTGCACCTTGATTCTTCTGTTGCTCTTCTGACGATCATTAGATTTCCAGCTTCGGTTACACCGCGGAGCAAAGTCTCTTGTACGGTACCCCTGGGGGCGCCGTCGAGGTGGTCGCACTTCTGCTGAACGGATATGTGGGCCAAATCACCGGACAACGTATCCTCTGCAGTACCGGCGGTCTCATCACCTCGATCATCGGAATGGTCCTCATCGTTGCCCTGCCATTGTCGAACAACGTTGGCCGTCTGATAGGTTACTACATGACCCAAGCGAGCCCGACGCCATTTGTGGCACTCTTGTCTCTAGTGTCTTCCAACATCGCCGGCTACACCAAGAAGACCACCGTGGCTGCGCTGTACCTGATCGGTTACTGTGCGGGAAACATCATCGGTAAGATATCCTCATTTTCATTGCGAAAATGGTACTAAAGCATGGATAGGTCCTCAAATCTTCCGCCCCAAGGATGCACCCCGATACGTACCCGCCGAGATCACCATTATCGTCTGCTGGGGCGTTTGCCTGCTGCTGCTTGTCTTTATCTGGTGGTGGTACAACAAGGAGAACAAGCGGAAGGCTCTCATCCGGGCATCGCCGGACTACGTGAGTCTAGAGAATCAAGCGTGAGTTCTCCGTTGACTGTTCTTCTGCCATGTATCCGCTGACATTGATCGAATCAGGTTCCTCGATTTGACGGACGGAGAGAATCATGACTTCATTTATGCGCTGTAGCTCTAATTCCGTTGACGTATATATTCCATAATTATGTTTGGAAGGTCAATGCTATGTTTCTATATGGCTGCGTGGGTCGCATTGGCAACAACAGATCACGGTTTTCTGAGCCTTTAGTCAGGGTGTGGATTGTATACAGTCCCATTATACAAAGTAGTACTCCAAACGTAGGCTGATATAACCCGACACACATAAGAGATCTCCCATCGCATACATGCAATAATACATTCCCATCCTATCCAATCTCTCTCCTCAACGTTGTAAGCCATCGAGAAGGAACAGTTTCAACAACCTTCCTCAAAGCATATATATATAAGAAGTGAATTCGTACCGCACACACCTTTGTTTTCTCTATATTAGTTAGTATCAAGCATCTACAAGAGCAGCTAGCAAGTAAGCAAGCATACCTCATCGAGACCTTCAAGACCGAAGGTCATAATCATAATCCATCGCCAGAGGAAGTTTTGCTTGTCTCCAGACATATATATACTAAAGGTATACACAACGGACACTGTACCCATGGAAGACTATCTCCGTTAGTATCATTCGCAGATATCTACATACGCAGACAGTGTAGGTAAGTATACCTTGTCACCAAACACCAAGGTCCTTCAGGACATAGACAAGGACAAGGTCGAGTCGAAAAGGTATCTATCTATCGTCAGCTAATTCACCACACAAAGACACAAGACACAAAGGCTCAAAACGCAAGACTTACTTTTCGAATTGAAAATAAAGAGACTCGTTACCAGAACGCACACAACGCATCTGATAACCCAGGCCCGTTCCCAGCCACCCAACCAAGGGCCCGTTTATGTCGCTAGAGCTAGAGGCATATTCGGTTTGGTATGCCCTGGTTAGTATTTTTGGTTTTGACAGCTGATTTCGTTTGTTTGATTGTTTTTCTCTGACTTGATTTTTCTTTTGGTTGTTGATTGTTGATTGGTGGGGGCTGATGTTTGGATTGGGGAGGAAGGCAGGGAGATGTGAAGTACTGGGAGGCAGGTGCAGCAGGGCGATAGGAAGGGAAAGGTAGAGTGTGTAAATTGGTATTATATGGCAATAAATGCTTCGAGAGAGGGCAGAGGGGAGAGCAGTGCAAGGAGGGAAGCAGACAAGGGAAGGTCGACTCGAACTTCCACCAGAGGCAGTCGCTCAGAGTCACCTGTAGAGAGGGAGAGAGTTGTAAGAAGAAAGAAGGAAAGAGCAAGGAGGCATGGTAAGAGGGGTATTTATACCTGTGGTTCTTCGCTAAACAGCTAGCAGGTCTCAAGCGAGCTGGCGTCGACGTTCGTCATTCACTATCATTGACTGTATATGGTCAAGAGGTTGGAGAGACACTACACAAGGATTTTGCTGGGGAGTTGCTACCACGACAGAGTACAAAAATGAGCCAATACTGGAGTCTGGTTCTGGTTCAGTAAGACAATGGGCTTTGTTTGCAGGCAGCAGGGGAGATACAGTCTTGTTTCCGTGGTTGATGGGTTTGAGATGACTCTATTTCTGGTGAATCTCGCGCACGGCATCTACCTCGTTCCTGAGAGATGATAGAGTGTCATTATTTGCAAATAACTCGACAACTGTCTTCTATGACTGCACAGCTTGTAGAATGAGGGCCCATCAAATACCGGGGTCTGAAGGCTGGGAATCAGTATGGTATACTACAAGATAAATCTTATGAAAAGCTCGGTGAAATGTCAGAATCACAATCAGTCAAGTATACTCTGAGACACTTAGGAAACGGACCTGACTAGGACTTATTTTATTAGACATTTTTTACTGCTAGAGACAAAGGAAGCATCGAACAAAGGCTCCAAGGAACTGGCCGCCGAGTAGATTGATAATCCATTGTTTTCAAATCTTTGTACAACGACATCAAAAGAACTTCATTGAGAGCTATGAACAAACCCACAAGGCTTCTGGACGGCTTTCAGAAGAGTATTATATTTCAAGTACTACTTCAAGACGTATATAGTCATCAGGAGTATCTAGTCGCAATATGCTACCTATGCGTGGACATGAAATGACTCGCTATCTCTACGAACTGCTGAGCGCAAAAATGGATATTCCTTCACCAACATGCTCTATTGGACGTTTAACTCGGTAAGTCTGAGCATTTTGTGCACTGTAAGCGTCTCTACTATGAGCCACCTAGATATAACATACAGTGACTACCAGGTGATGTAACAAGTAAACAGAATGGAGCTACCATATACTAATTGACCGTTTTGACGTCCATCTCTATGGTGGCTGACAGCCCGATCCCTGGCACTCCACCACCTGGGAATAGATGAAGGCTACGCATGCTGGTCCATAGAAATAAGAGGGAATAAAGTGATTCTTAGATGTCGAGTCCAAAGGAAGCAGCGTCTCTGAGACTTGAAGGGTCTGCTTTATTCATATGGCGGAACCTTCTATGGAAGAACAACAATTCTCTTGTTCTCTCCACAAGATGTCCTCGAGACTGCACTGTCTGGAATTATCAAAGTCTACTTAGGTGGCTTGAAGTATCTGCTGCGCCTGATCATGCACTACACGCATGGCAGCAGGCATTAGAACAGATAACCATCCTGCAAACTCAAATGAACTGCCATATATTTACCAGCCTGGTTCAATGCACATGAACGACTACGATCCCGCGTGTCATAGCGCAGCCAAGCAACCCTATTCAAGCAACCATGATAGCATGAGAGTTTTGGTTGGTTCTCAAAAGCCAGTGTCGACATGGATTGGAAGTCTAATCGGACATGAACCTGATTGAGCTGTGGTTGCCAGCTACTTTACCCTTGTTGGGGAGTCGGCCAATTAATCAAGGAATCGGAATCAAAGACTGTGTCCAGTCGTTGATATGATCAGTATCAAAACTGGATCAACCCTCATATTCAGGATTTGTCTGTGAACACCAACAGATGAGAAGTCCAGGTTGACCGCCTTGCAAAAAGAATAGAAACGGCGGTCAACTGTGTCAACCAATGGTTGCTAGAAGGAGGGGCAGATGACCCGTTGAGCAACCGCGGATGGAGGAAAGTCCATGCGCAGGAGTGGGCGTAGTGGGGGCAAGTCAGGTGGAGACCAGCGGCATTCTGCCCAAGAACATTGTCTTGTACCAGTCCCTTGCTTTTGCAGGTAATCAAAGGAGACTTCAGTTGTAGGAGTGTTTTCTATTCTTGTACCTCTCGTAATCCATACTCAAAGTACAACTTGCAAATGACGTAGTCATCCAGGGTCAACATCCTCTGATGCCGACACTGCATGAAAGAATCTCCCATGTTTCTTTTGGTTCCTGAAAAGAACCATGCAGGGGGTCAGGGACAAGGGATCTAGACTCACCTTAGAGAAGACGGGTGGATTCCGCTTTCTTCTAATGAGGTATCCATACTCTGTATGTAATGATGGTAATGGCAGACGGACGAACCCCGCAGCTCTTCTTTGCTTAAGCCTTCCTCTTGAGTCTTTCCAACCTGTTCTCAGGCGACCTTTTCAGTCCTCTCGGTCATTAGGGCGTTAGCGCCGGCAACAATCCCGCGACAATCTTTGCTGGATTCATTTGTTGATGAATGATATCAACCAAAATGGGTCCTCTATTGCCGCTATGGAGATAGAACTAGATACTCACACCACGATGATCGTCTCTGTTGGCAACTTGGCACCGTTGGGCGCCTACAGTCGGTGAAGAGAATTCTTTCCTCGTCTCCTGCAAGTATTTAGTTTCCAGTACCGACCGACTTACTTTCTGAAAGAATCAAGGATGAGGTTTCGTCTGGGAATTTCTCCCTAACTTGAGACAGTTCTTTCGTTGGTTTCAGGTTTCTATTTTCGACATCATTATCATTATCATTACTGTCTTTTTTCTGCAACATTTCATTCTTTATTGTCTTCCTGATCAACGGGCTGATCATTCATCATGAGTCCCTTTCAATGATCCTCCCGTGATTTGCCCCTCTCTTCTTTGATCTTCCCCTCCTTGAACCCTAACTTTATCCTACCGATTGGCTGCGTGATGCAAAAGAAGGGAATCTGATTCATTCATATAACCTTGGGATCAACACATTCGTCAGCGGCACAAAGACTTGTCTTTAAGTCGATGGTCTTTTGATCCTTTGCCTCTGACTGGTGCCATTTGACGGCAAAGCACATGTGAATCTTTGCCGTCCCATTTACCTTTGCTCTTCCCACCTGATGTTGAGGTAGCGACTGGGAGCATGGCCGCCTCGTTCACATGCCATGGAGCTATACTGCCCAGCGGCAATGCCCATATGAGCCACTCTCATCACGGAAGCCACTCGATCCATGTAGACGAAGCTACCCTCGCTTCCTCTATCACAACCACTACCTCGACTTCTACAATAAGTCCTTCTACTACATTCGCTCTCACTCCTGGCTATGATCAACCTGCTTCGTATCTGGCAGTCTCAACTGTGCCATCCCTCAATATCACTACAAGAGCTACCTCGCCCTGCTTAAGCGATATCTCAGAGTCCAAGACCTTTTACAGTACCGTAGAGGTCACTGAGATTTGTGCGGATGCATGCGACTCGCCTACAGCTTTGGACTTGACGTCGAATGATTGCTTGGACCAGATGGAAAACAGCTTGACGCATGCAGTCGGACAACCAGATACGGCGACGGCGACGCCTTCAACCCCTGCTTCGAATAGCCATCGCACGCCTAAAAGGAAACGAACAGTATCGCCGCCGTCCTCTGCAAAATCTCCTGAGCACCTTCGCTCCACATCCCGAAGTACTCGCCGGTCCACACCGACAAGCCGCCGCAGTTCTTTGCATTCGCACCGACGTGCAGCAACTACATCGCTTACACCGTCCATCGTCGATCGAAAGGATCCAGTGGCAAAGCGTGAGGATCTTCTGGCCCTCCATCGCGAGTCCTGCCGACTATTCCAGGATAACGAATTACCACAATCCTGCTTGCAGGAAAGACAATCCCCCCCGGCAGCCCTTCCTTATATGACATCTTGCGCACGCCGAGCATCTTCTGAATTCAGTTCACCGCCAGCTTCGCCGATTGCATACACCCGTTTCTCCACTTCAGCTCGAGAACCTGGGCTGGACACCAGCCTGAGCCCCGATCATCCGACTTATGTACCCGCCGCCGATTCAATAGCCGACGGCGCTCCAAAACAGGTGACGTCGACGGTGATCGACTGGACATCACCATCTACTCGCAGGCGAGAATACGAGAAAATCGATCGAGCCAGCAACGGTGTCCGCGGATTCTGGCGACGAGTGGCACCCCGGTGGTGCCAATTCGGGGACAATCGCATGCCGTTCTTCGAAGAAGGGAAGAACGGCAAGGGCAACTATGAGGGCAGCGTCCGGAGGTTTCGAATGGACTTGCCTGACGAGCCGGCCGATGAGACGGCGAACAGATCCCGTAGAGGCCTGAAGTTCAAGAAGAAGTTGATCGTCCACGGATTTACCCCTCGGCGGAGTACATGTTAGTCTCTGAGTTGCGTCTCGATCTTTTCATATTGCGTCTTGTTTAGCGTGCTGCTTGTCGCTGGCGATGTGGTGCAGCAATGATACCACGATGATTACACTGAACGACCTGCCTGGTTTCGTGTTTTGCTGTGGACCCAGTTTATACGGGTGTAGACTTGAGATTGTGATACCCTGCCACCATGGCCTTTTCTTTATCCTAGTCTTAGCATATCAAGCATATCATATATTTCGAAATGGTTTTAATGAACGTGCACTTTTCTAAATGTCCAGTAAAGTACGTAACACCAACGCCATGCAATGCAATATATGGGTATCGATAGAGCGCACAGCCATAAGCCCAGGCAGCAACTACAACAGTTCAAAATCATCCAGGTTATCCCTGTAGCGCATGATATTGCGCTTGATCTTGCTGCTATCCACCCAGGTGATATGATCCTCCATATTGCGCGTAACCAGATACGCCGGGTCCGTGACAACCTCCGGCCCACAGCGCACATGTCCCTGCTCGATATACGTCACAGCCTATCAAGTCAGCACCCACCTCTTTTTTTTTCAGTCAGAAAGGAAGAAAAAAGGAAAACATACAGCCTTGATTGTCTCCACCATCCCCGTCCTAACCATCACAACAGCTAACCTCCTCCTACAAAACGCCGAAACCGTCACCTCGCGCTCCACCCTTGACAACCCCGCCCCTTGCTCGCGCGACTGCTTCAGCAATCCCATCCGCCACAGCTTATCCAGGACCTCGGACTCGAGCTTCTTGCGCAGCGGGTCCGAGTCCGGGTCCAGCTGGGAGAGCTTGTGGGCGAGTTGGCGGAGGGAGCCGGCGAGCGCGTTGTAGGACTTGTAGTCTGTATCGTTTTGGAGGTGGTAGCGTTGCCGGATTTGGTGTTCGCGGTGGCCGCCGTCGGATTTGTAGTTTATGAAGTCGACCTTTCGGAGGAGTCTATCATATCTTTGTTAGTAACTTGCTTCTGGGTGCTGGGTGGAGAGGGAGGGGAACGGACTTTTTCTCGTGGTATTTGAGTTGGCGGACCATTTTGAGGATTTATGCTAGCTGTTCCTTTGAAAAAGGGAGTGGTTGGCGAGTGCGATTTGATGATGGTTCGTCGTGGTGAGGATAAAAATTCTATGGATGAAAGGCGGTGTGTGGTTCTGCTGGAGGTTTGGTGCACTGTGCAAACTGTGCAAACTGCACATGCGATTCTGGACCGGCTGTCGGGTTTCTATTCCTATTTGGGATTAGTGTTATTTGCCTGGCATTGCTGCTGTTGAATTAAGCCATAACCATAACCAGTTAGCGGAGTATCTTCAGGAAGTACTCCGTAGTCTTTACTATATCACCGCTCAGGCGTATTGGGCGTTACAATGTTGATCATATGGTGGACAAACCACTAATTCTACGCCCTAGGACTAAGGTTTAGTATGGGATATACTCCCCAAAGCCAGAGATGTAACTATCATTTCTCAGTAATGACATTTGGCAAACGTGTGCTATCCACATCAAGGGCATAATGCAAACGCCCAGAATGATCATTTACGACTGACCCAGGCTCCGCAAAGTTGCCGCAGGAATAACAAGGGATCCCCTCACAGAGCTCGAAACTATCCCCGCGACCAGGTTCCGAAATGACGATCCTTTTGTTGTCGCCATCGCCGAAGCTTGTCATCAAATCGCCAAACGAAAACGTGGTTTGGTCTGTCCCAGAACCCTTTTCCGGATCTTGATCTTGATCCGCTGCAATTCACCACCGGGACCAATCGTACTAATGACTATCTTGTCGCTGGCGATGAGAGGAATCTGGCAGCCATGACTTGCGCCCCTGTAATAGACGACAAACCAAGTTCGGCTCGTTGGAAAGCCATGTACCATTTCCGACGTGATACCAGTAGGAGTTCAGATAGCCCCGTCGGCTTATGAAGAAACTGTACCCGGACAATCAGTCATCGTCCACGTTGACAGCAGCCTGTTGAGCGATGACTCTCCACTGAGGCCCTGCGCGGCCGCCCATCAGATTTTGATTTTGCCAATCAAATCATGGAGAACAATGCCTTTGGCAGTGTTGCCGGAATCATTTTTGCCGGAAAGAACAAAATGCAGTGTCGCGCCATTGAATGGTGTGAGCTCGCTCGATACTGAACCGTGGGGTGACCGTCCCGGCGCCCTGGTGAAGCCTTTTTCTCAGAGGTCCTGTATTGCTTCCAGACCCTTGAGTACGTTGATTATTGAGCTGCTGTCCCCAGGCGACAGATTGAAGAGTACCCGTTCATCTTTCAAAACATCTTCCCCGGAGGAATCCCGGTTGCCAATGGATGAGATGTCTGCTATGCAGCAGCTCAGCGAACAACCAAAATCAAGGAACATATCCGGCAGATATTGAATTATCAGAAAGCCTGCAGAAGCTGTATTAGGATGCTGGTTAAGGCGGGGTATTTGATGGGGTATCCTTGAAGGGTAAGTGGAGGAACGATGGATATGCGGTCCAAGGGCTCTCCTCGCAGCAGGAGAGGGAGCGTGAGGGGTTTCGTCGTCATTGGGAGGCTTTTTGATTAAGAGTGCTGGTGAGATATTGTTTAGTTGACAGGCATCAGTTTAGAGTCTCCACACTGCGCGGGCAACACATCTCCTGACCTATGGTCTCGGAGCTGCTTTGTCTCGTTTTATAGGCTCGTCGCCGGAGATCGTTAGGACGGAGCTGGCGGGACGACGGGGACCCTGGGGACTGCATTTTGAGTCACAGAATACTAAATACTGTAGGTCAGCTGTTTGGAGACTTTTATCATTCTCGTCTAGTCTATCAGAGATGTACAGAAATAAAGAAGATTATAATTCATCTTTGCCCTCTGAAGGCATAGGCCGGCCACTGTCCTTGCCAAGATCGACCCCGTGCTTCTTGCGCCATTTCTCCCACATGGCCCAGAAGTCCTTCTCCATCCCGCTCTCCATCTGGTCCGGCAGGATGACGGTGTACTCGACATACAGATTGCCCGGCTCCGAATCGTGGTCGTGGTGCTCGTGCAAATGACCCTCGGAGTAGAAGGGCATGCCCTCGCCCTTGACCGTCTCGACGGAAAGCGGCTGGACGACCTCGCCACGCTTGCGGCTCAGCTGCACGACATGCCCGTCCAGATGCGTGATGTTGCGCGTCCAATCGCCCATCCACGCCTCCCGCAACGACAGCACCTCCCTCCAGAACAGATGTCTGCCCTTGCGCCGGAAGAACGTGCCGTCGGTGCGGCGCGCCTCGTCGGCCGCCAGCTCGGGCTCCTTCTCCTCCAACACCAGTATCAGATCGCCCGCCACCCAGTCCGGGCTCTCGTCGCCCTCGTTCTCAAACACCAGCCGCGTCCCCTTGTCCATGCCCGGCTCCACCGTCGCAACCGTCTCCACCTCGCGCCGCACAACTCGCTGCCCCGCACATACAGGACACGGCTTCTTGATTGTCTTGCCCTGGCCGTGGCACGCGTCGCACGGCATCTGCACTTGCTGGTACATGCCCGGCGCAAGCATGTGCTTCTGGATCACCCGCCCGCGCCCACTGCACTTGGGGCACGTCACCACCTGCCGGTCCGCCGACCCCGTCCCCTCGCACGCATCGCAGATCTGCTGCTTCTCAATCCCAAACCGGATCTCCCGCCCCGTGTAGAAATCCCGCAGCGGCAGCCCTACGCGCATCTCCATGTCCGGTCCGCGTCGGTGGCCCGGCGCATGCCCGAAGTGTCCGCCGCCGCCGAAAAACCGCGAGAATAGATCGAAGGGGTCGTTCGCGGGGCGTCCTGCCGTCCCGCCCTGCCGGTGCTGCTCGATTCCCTCGTGTCCGTACTGGTCGTAGATTTTCCGTGTGGCAGGTGTAGAGAGGACATCGTACGCGTCTGCGATTTCGACGAATTTCTCCCGCGCCGTCTCGTCGCCTCTGCCGTCGTACTTGAATCAGCCTCCATTCCCTCTCTCCCGCTAGAGCCTTGGAGCGACAAAGACTTACGGATTCTTATCCGGATGGAATTTCTTGCTCAGCGTCCGGTACGCGCGCTTGATATCCCGCTCCGAGGCGGAGCGGTCCAACCCCAGGATCTTGTAGTAGTCTTCCTTGGCCAACGCCAGGACCAGACAAAGTGCGATCGCGAGCAGAATTGTAATTAGACGCATTGTGATGATTGGTACGCAAGCTGCATCACAGCTGCGCTTACACGTAGCAATTGGTCAACGATGTCTCAATGGTCAATGCCAAGGTGGTGTATTGTATCCCGAAGCAGGGGTATAGCTCATGAAGTAAAAACTAGACTTTGTGATGTGGTCTTAATGGAGTGGTCCGGAAGGCTTGAGGAAGTCTCGAGATCAGCAAAGAACTCAAGATGGAGTTGGTGCTGGGGTGGTTGTTTTGCGCTTGCCCTGGACTGATTGCGCGGTGTTTGGCCGGCCACTACTGATAAAGTCCGCGTTGATAGAGAAGCAGTAGCTGTTGATTAGGTGGCCGCAACGTGGAGGAAAATGGTTTGTCCGGTCACGTGATGGCAATTTGCCTGGTGTGAGGTATGGTTTAGACTAGATTGTGAAATGTTGAGTAATGGACAGAGTGATCAGATACATTAACTAGATTACAAGTATGGAATCGTAAAGAGGCGGTTGGACTGTCGCATCAAATGAACATTTGAACAAAGAATAGCACAATCACTCATAACTCGTGACAAAGTCGAATTAACACTAAGTACTTCCCCAAGACCGACCAACAACATCGAAAATCTCATTCCGCCATGTCCGTCCAAGACCCTGACTCTGATCTCCCTCCTCAATGGCCTCTTGAGCCCGCAATCCCTCCTCCTGCCACACTTTGACAATACTTCCAGGCGCATAGACGTCCTTGAAGACACCGCTCTTTGGGGCCTCGAAGCCGACCCGGGTTTCGACGTCCGACTCTGGCAGCCTCAACCGGGCCAGTACGGCCCGGACAAAGGTTGCCAGGTCTTGCGGATTGGCTATGCGCGCGGCCCGAAGTCGTTCT